TTGGCAACGACGTTGTAAAACAAGCCGCCCCCCCCGGTGGTTGCCATCGGGATTGGGTTTTCGTCGCTTGCCAACAACGTTGCAAAACAAGCCAATTCACTTCGTGAACTCGACAATCAGGTTACCGTTTGGTTATTTTTACTTTGTTTGTTTCGGCGGTAACCATGATGGTGGTCGAGTAGATCATGTTGTGCGGGGTCGAGAACCCTCACTCCGCGCAAGGGGGATGATCGCACCACGTTGTGGTAAAATGGTAACGCACCCTCGAGGCAGTTACACATTGCTTACAACTGTTCCAGGAAGTGAAGGCACCAGAAAAAATATCAAGTCATACGCAGCTGTCATCCGTATGCAAGGAAGTAAGCACACCCCCCCCGCTACGGGTGAGATTAGGTGTATACCCGTCCGATGGGATAGAACGGGGCGGGCGGATAGCGATGCTGGTGAACTTGACGTAGGCACGGCCGCTGGTGCGGCGATGCCTGCTTCACTATCTGCGAGGTAGGCCGACGGGGAAGCCGACGGCAGGGAACAACTCTTCTCTTCTTCTACTCCGTTGTCACTCAATCGATTTGTTGGGATTTCGGCAATCACTGGAAGCATCGGCAACGCGGGGAATGCTCGCTTCGGCAAACGGTAATTACCCCGGGGAGATGGGCTAATAACCGCCGGTGCCGTCTTGAACGCGGGTTTTCTCATGGCACCCCACCTCCCGTGCTTTTCTATACTATTTCGGGTTCGGAGTACGGTTTCGGATCGGTTTTCGCGCCGGTTTTGAGCCGCAGCATTCTTCGTATAAGGGCAAGCTGGGACTCCACGGATCAAGCGGACAGCCCCTCTCTTCTATCGCCTACGACTCCAGGACACAAGGTCTGTTCGACTAAGCTAATTACACTCAAACTCGTACTGTGCACTCGGTCTGTCGGACTCGGAGTCGGTTCGGGTTTCGGAGTCGGCTCGGGTTTCGGAGCTACACAACCTGGTAGCTTCGCCGGTGTTTTACTACCGTACGACAAAGTAGGTGGGGAACCAGATGGCTCCCCGCCCCCCTCTATACTAGGTCGGAAATCATTAGACGGTTGGGGCGGCGGCAACGGTTTCCGCCCGTCTCCACGACCGTGAGGCTCCGACGTTTCCGTCACCGAGAGGCGGAAACTCTCGGTGTCGACTTCTTATTTTCCAGGGTACAAAGAGGAACCCTTCGCTTGTTGTTTCTTTTTTAGGCTACGGAGCTTGACTTGCCGCCTTTCTTCAAGCAAAACGGGGCTACCCTCCCCGAATGACTCGCAAAACATGCCACACTCATTTCTGAAGGACTCAGGGCAATCACGCGGGAAGTGATCGGTGCGACCGCAGTTGTAGCAGGCATTCGCGGCAGCTGGCTTTTAGCCTTCACCCCCTCTACCGAATGAGTACGCCGAAGAAGTATGGGAAGGAAATAAGAAGGTAGTGAAAGAACTCGAGGCGGCGCAGATGGAAGCAGCGGAAACCATCGAAGGATGCTCCAAGCGCACAAGTAATGCANACACGCATCAAATTGACGGTTTTGAAGAGCGTAATCGTACCGCCGCTAGAGTACGCCGGAGAAGTATGGGAAGGAAATAAGAAGGTAGTGAAAGAACTCGAGGCGGCGCAGATGGAAGCAGCGGAAACCATCGTAGGATGCTCCAAGTG